AGCCATAGCTACAAGTATGGTAGGTTATATACATGAGGATGAAAATAAATACATACTATAAATAAACGCAGACACTACAACTGTTTACATATTTTTCTACTCAAATCACTTTAAACATCTTAAAATTATCAACGATGATGTTCTGTGCACTGCAAAATCTTGCGCAATCCATGAAATTGAATGATTTCATTTTTTAATTCAAATTTCTTCTTTTTTTGAAGTTCAATGTAAATGCTGACCTTTCAGAATGGAATATGACATTGAGATACCCTTACTTCATCAAAATGACCATTATCATATGTGTATAAACACATTATAGAGCATGCAACAAACAAATGAGAGAAAAACTGTGAAAGTACCCCAATAATGCTTTCCCATGTCAAAGCATCTGATGATTTGACGCCACTACAATACTACAAGACTTTTGTTTATTTTGTTTTTAAATTCATTTTCTTGCATAACACCAGTTTTTTCATATTGAAAAGTTTCTAAAGTTTAGCATTAATACTTACGAAACATTGTCATGAACTGCAGTGGGACTAATCCCCATTTTCCCCACACTGACTTTGTGCCAGCCTTCCTTGCATAGGTGTCTAAGTTAAAAGCTGGTTCCGTGCCAAACGTATCTATGACCCGTAACATACAGCTGCAATAAATAATAAATTCTAATTATTAAATATTTATGAAACATAGTGCCAACCAAGGAATTACACCAAGCAAAGCAAGCATTGCAGACAGGGAAAATAAAATATTTAATCTGTAGTACAAATAGTTTTCCTGCACCAGGTAAAACATTGATGAATAGATACAATGAGTTAGACAGCCATAGATGTTGAGTCAGTGAGAAGCTACTTACAAGATTGTACCTGATTGGATACCCAACCTAAATATCTGACAGTTAGACCAATCAGAAAGCAGCTTGTTTGTCACCATTTTTTTTTGACATATTTGTTTCCGCTTTGCATATATGCTTAAACTCAACTGCTGATGTCAGATGGACGGACGAACGGACGGACAGACAGACGAATGGATGGATGTATGGATTGACAGACAGATAGACAAATTGACGGACAGATGGAAGGGCGATGACTTAAACATGAATGACAAACATGACAATTGTACAGAATCCACTAAATGCTTCTACCCCAACCCATACCCGACACACATACCCAGCCCTAGCCAGGGATCTACCCTACCCAGCCTGAGCAATGAAGATTATCACAACTTACCTGAATTGGTTCCAGAGAGAACCAGCTACTTTTTTAAACTGCTTCAAACCTACAATATCTATGTAAATAAGATCCACAGGTCTTACTCCTGATACAGGACAATTTTTATTGCTCACGCCCTTAGCCTTCATATAACTATAAGATAAAAATATTACATTACTCATACAATGAATCTATGTGCTTTTCCATTGACTGTCAGACATCTACAAATGCCTAGAATGAATGGCTGGTTTATCTTATTAGCCATGCAAATTTATTCAAGATACATGCTATAAAAGTGTACATTATGCTCTAGTCGTTTGCAAGCTGGAAAATGCATGCTGCAGACAATTCATAGATGATTGACACTTTCCATTTTCAACCTATCTAATTTGATGAATATTTGACAAAGCATTTTTAGAAGTTATTTTCATTTTTTGAAAGCATAAAAATCTTTGAATTATTAATAACTGAATATTTTTTTCCAATTCAAAATGGCCACCAGATTGGGCATTCATATTGATGAATAATCCCAAATTCATTGTTTCCATGGAAACAGGTCTTATTTTACATTTCACTCTGCAAAATACCACAAACTTTTAGCATCTTCTCTTTTTCTACTTTGCTAGTAGACATATCATTCATTATTAATATGAATCATAATATTGTTGAAACATTTCAAAAACATGATTTATTGAGTTTCCCATTATATACAATTGAAGGTTCTCTCCCATAATGCATTGCACACATGCTCATTTGGGTATAATTTGAATTTGATTCTGACTGCCTTAAGAG